TTTAACTTCAAAGTCAACTAAATCTTGTGTGGTACAATTGACGCAGGTGGGTTTGGTTCGGACCGGGGCGAAAGGTTTACCAGGCAGATAAGAAACATCAATTTTTCGAACGGAACACCATAGGTGTCCTAACTGGGATCCATATATGTCGTAGGATGACATAGGGGCTCATGTTTGTCCAACCTCCCCCCACACACATAAAATGATTCATAATACAAAAGCACAAAATAATACTCCCTCTGTCCCAATTTAAATCGGCTGTTTTGATTTTTAGGCATATTTAAGGAAAATAAAAAATAGAGTTGATTTTCCGAAATTGTCATTACCTTTTAGAAGGGGTGATGATGAATGAGAAGATAATGTGAAAAAGAGTGACTTATTTTAGGGGTAGTTTAGGTATTTTATTTTTAAAACTTTACGAAAACAAGTAACAGACAACTTATTTTGGGACGAAGAAAAAAGACAAACAAGTAATTTAAAATGGGACGGGGGAGTATTCCGTATGAGTTTAGTAACCTGAATGAATAATGTTTGCAGAAACATATATGAAATTAAATCACTATTATGTTCACACAAAAAATCAAAAAATAATGATATAAAAGATCAAGCCCAATAGAAATAAATACATTCGACTAATTACTACTTTCTCCGGCCATTTCATGACGATTTACACCTTTCGAATCATGTGCTAAGCCTTGTAACTTTGAAATTGATCTTATTTACATATTAGTATATAATTAAAAGAAATACAACTTATTACACATCTCTTAAAAAATATTTCGTATAACTTAAATATTTTAAAATTGTACTCGGTATTAAAAGTTCTATAAAACATAAGGTCACAACAATGTTTTTTTTGTTAAGTAATCATTGAAAATTTTCAAACAAATAAAAATTATCAAATAATTAATCTTTCCATCTGAGTGAATTTTTCTATTTTGATTTTTTCTTATTAATTTGGATACACTTTGAATTCTAATTAAATAAAAATTATAATGTATATTTGTATAAAAATGACCTTACTAAATTTATTTTGTTGAGATGTTTTAAATTTTATTTTAATATGAAAATATACAATACAAATCAAGAGTAATTAAAATTTAAATATATCCAATTTGACTCAAAAAAATTAAACTATATAAACTAATATCTTCTGACAAAACGTGAAAGTAGCATCCGTGGCAAAGTTGCACGCCACGTGCCGCGGTAATGTATAACCATTCAGGAATTGCGACACGTGTCTCGCCACTTGCCAACAGCATTCGGCGATCTTCTTCTTCTCCAAGTTTACATTTCCAAATTCCAATCTAATTTTTTTTAAAAAAAATATAATTAGAAATACAGTTTATAAAACGAATTGTATGTGTTTAAAATTTATTTTTAAAGTGAAACATTTGTATTTTAAATTTATTTAGAAAAGAAATGTATTTAAGTTAAGTACGTAGTTTTCCCTTCATCCCAAAAAGAAGGTTTGTGTTTCATATTTTACGTATTGAATAAAACACTTATATCTCGTCTCAAATGCTAAATTTTTTAAAAAAAATTTCCACCCACAATAAAAAGTAAATGTGATAAATTTTTGACGTTTTTGATGTTAGTAGAAGTGTTTTATGTGATGCACAAAAAATGAAATGTAACCGTCTTATTGAGACGGAGGGAATATTAGTTTAGAAGCATAATTTCTATGGTCAATGTGTCTACACACCTTCATTTGATCGTTTTTGGGATCTTCATGAAAATAAAAATGGCCAATCTTTAGTGTTAAACTTAAGTGTTTGAAAAAGTCTATCAAATTTAGGGTTTTAAAAGTTATTTTAATATCAACAAAAAATATCCAAAATACTCCCTCCGTTTCTCAAAACGGTTCCTGTTTTAACTTTGTGGAAAAATAAGGAAAGTGTAATTTTAGTTGACTTTCTAATTTTGCTCCTGATGTGATGGGTAAAAGTAAGATGCGATAGGTAGGGTATGAAAAAGTAGGGGTAAAAGTGGTTTTTTAAAAGAAAAAGGAAGTATTTTAAGAAAAACAAAAAAGATGAAAAGGGGAGGGTTTTAAGGAGAGAGTATTAAAACGATATTCCCTTAGTATAAGGCATTATTCTTAGGGGTGGGTCCGGAAAACCGAAAACCGAAAATCGAACCGAAATCAATCGAACAATACCAAAAACAAAACCGCACCGCAAAAACCGAAACCGAACTAAAAAAACCAAACCGAACCGATTGCATTCGGTTTCGGTTGCGGTTTTGGCTATTTAAAACCGAACCGAATTGCTAAAAACCGAATATACTTAGTTTTAGGATTTTAGGTTTACGGCTTTGCAATTACGGGTTAGTCACTTAGTGGGTAGTTTCGCACATCCTCAATTGCAGATTCGCAGTCCAAAACTTCCAAAATCAAAGGTTCGCCGTTTGCGTTGGTCGGATACCATTGCAGATTCACTGTTCGCGTTAGTCCGATACCAATATCAGGAGTTCATCATACTGTTCTTACCTTTCTAAATCCTTCACTTCCCAACAAGGTTTTGTACATTCGAACAACTTCAGCTCCGTGATTGGTACATGTGTGTAATTAAAAGTAGACATTTTTAAATGTGCACACAGGATAAGACACACATAAAAGCATAGGCAGGGGAAATACTTATTTTACTTTTAAATTAAATTTTTTAAAAACCGAAATTTAAACCGCTAAAACCGAACTGTATACCGATTGGTTTTCTCTTTTTTTTACAAAACCAAACCAAACCGCACTGCCAAAATGCCTTCCGTTCTGTCTTTGGTTTTAGGTAAAAAACCGAACCGTTAAAACCGAACCCACCCCTAATTATTCTTGTTAACTAGACTTATCCTGTTAAATATTTTTGACCTAAATAGTGAAGTGAGATGATTAATTAATCCAACATGCACGAAGGAAGCATATTGAATACGGAGTATAAATTACTTTCTTTTTCGAAAGACAATATAAATTACTTTAGAAATCACCCTAAATAGGACTAAAACATAGAGAAAAGTACCAAAATAGGACTTTCATGTTTTTTTCCCCAAAATAGGACTTTGCACAGTGGTAATGTGACTTTGCATTGTGGTAATGTGGCAGTGTACATGTGCACATTATTATACTTTTTTGGTAATGTATATGACCATGTTTGGTAATGTAAGTCCTATTTCGAGAATAAAAAACATGAAAGTCCTATTTTGGTATATTTTCAATGTTTTAGTCCTACTTTGGTCTTTCTCCCAAATTACTTTCATTATACTATTTTTAAAAATAGATTTCATTAATTAATGTTACCTCCGTTCTAAATTAATCTTCTTTATTTGTTTTTTAGATTGTCTCAAATTAATCTTTTCCTTTCTTTTTTTTGAAAAACTTTTCTTGATTTATCTTTTTTCGCTCTCCTCTGCATTACTTTAAAACAATACAATTTCTTTTTTCTTATTAGGATCTTTAATTTGGGACGGAGAGGATATAATTAAGAGTTACTTTTAGTGAAACTATTGCCATAATTCTAGCAATAACGAAGAACTTATTTGAGGAAAAATAAATACTTCCTTCATCCCACAAAACATTTTGGTTTTGACTTTTAAGGTCTGTGGGTCTGTTTAGTATACGAAATCGACATAATTAGAATTGAACCGGGAGTTAAATTCTATGAAATTAATTTGGATAGAATTTAATTATTCGATTCGAATTCATTTTTTGCACTACCAATTCCAAAGAGAAGCTAGCTAAAATACAACGACCACCATAACTAATACTACCATTATAATATCATCATCATCATCATCATCATCATCATCATCATCATCTAACATCTCACCTCAAGCTGAACGCGTGTTACGAGTGAAAGCTTGAAAAAAAGAGCTTGAAACTGCGGAAAAGATTGTGCCTTGAGTAAGTCGATCTGCTAAAAATAGAGAAACAAATACTCCGTACTTGCTGTGTTACGTACAAATTTGAGAGTGCATGTGCTGATTGATTAATTCAAAACGCATAGAGTGCACTCTCTCTCCATCTTCACACACTTCTTTTTTGGATGTCTAGTAATTAATTAATTTAATTTACATCTTTGGGCATTTTCATTTTGGATATACAGCATTTTTTATCTTTCAAGGAAATTGTTACTACACAATGGTTTGTCATTTTTGAGTATCTTTTCAATATTTCTCTTAAATTTTATTGTTCCCTCCGTCCTAAAACGTTCTTCTCAGTTACTATTCACAAAATCAAATTTTAATCATTTTATTTATTTTCGTTAGTTATTTGATAAACAATATGATCTTGTCACATCTTGTTTTATAGAACTTTTGAAATAATTTTTGAATACATAAATTTTATTTTTTTAATTTTACACCTACAATCAAATAAATTGATTTGGAAATAAAGTCAGTGAAAACTCATAAACAAAAATGGGAAAAATCTTTTAAGACCGAGGGAGTACATTCTTTCAGTGACAGAGAGGGATAATATATACCCCCTTCTAGGAAAACAATTCCTATATTGACTTTAGGTAAAAAATAATGAAGGATTATTTGGAGCTGACTTTCCAATTTTGTTTTTTGATGTGATGGGTAAAAGTTAGATGAAATTGAATTTTTCAATTTCAATTCATTTTTGGGGTTATCAATTTCAAATCCACATATTTTTGTGTTACCAAATACTTAACAGAATTGAAATTATTATGGGAGAAAGACCAAAACAGGACTAAAACATTAAAAATATACCAAAATAGAACTTTCATATTTTTATTTCCGAAATAAGACTTAAAATGCATTTACATTACCAAACATGGTCATGTACAGCACCGAAATTTATAGTAATGTGCACATGTACTGTGTCACATTATCACAGTGCGAAATCCTATTTCGAAAAAAAACATGAAAATTTTATTTTAGTACTTTTTTCTATATTTTAGTCCTATTTAGGATGATTTTTAAATTATTATCCTCATTTCTAATTCTATACTTTGAATTCTGTGTATCAAACGAAGTTAAGAGAGTCGGTATCAAATAGTGTCTAATTATGGAGTCTCTATTTAAGGAGGGTGATGTGTTGAAGAACAAGAAGGTTAGTTAGTTAAATCGGCAAGAGAGATGATGATATTGGACGCTATCCACAAGTTTCTCAACATGGTGGCTCCGCCCTTCACCTTCTTCACCTTGCTCCTCTTCTGGCCCCCATACCAAATCTTCAAGCTCTTCCTCTCCCTCTTGGATTCCACTTCCCCGGAGGACGTCTCTGGCAAGGTTGTCGTCATCACCGGTGCTTCCTCCGGCATTGGTGAGGTATGCTTCCCATGTTCATAATTTGTTCGAAATGAGAAAAAACTGAAAAAATTACTACCTTCGAACTTGAATATTTGTCCAATTTTAAATTTTTTTATAGTCAGTTATTGTCAAGGTTTGACGTATAGTTAAATAGAACAATACTCCATATATGGTATATTAATTAGATAAAATAATATTCTGAAAAGATTTTTGTAAAATAAATCTAATTCAATTATTTTCGTATCAATTTTATTTAATAGGGATCAAGTTTTATCAATTTTGATTACAATAAGTTAAAACTGGACAAATACTCAAGAACGAAAATAATAATCCACAAGTTTCATTGAAATACGAGAAATTACCCTAAATAAGACTAAAATATAGAAAAGTAACAAAATAGTAATTCCATATTTTTATTTCTGAAATAGGAGTTTGCACCGTGGAAATGTAGTGGTAATGTGGCACTGTATATGTGCACATTACTATACTTTTTTGGTAATGTACATAACCATGTTTGGTAATGTAAATGCATTCTAACTCCTATTTCAAAAATAAAAACATAGAAGTCATATTTTGATATATTCTTAATATTTTACTCCTATTTTTGTCTTTTTCCCTTGAAATACCTAGTCTTTTTATTGTTAAATAAGTCACGTGAGGCCTTTAAAAATGTGGTTTTCCTATTTTCTCCTTAAGTAGGGCTAAAAATGTTTCATATACTAACATCCGTTTGTGAAAAGCATTCCTATATTGAGGCTCCGTTCCATTCAACTTATTTTTTCTGATCTGATCTGATTTTAATAAGTTCTGATCTGGTCTGATCTGATCTGATTGGATCTGATCTGATCTGATCTGATCTGATCTAGTCCGATCTAATTAATTATGATTTGATTTAAAATTCAAATCAATAAATTTGATTTGACTTTATAATAACGTTTAAAAATTGTAATGATAATTTATATTATAATATAATCAATATTTTTTATTTTATGATTACTTTTTAATAAAATAAAATTAGTTAATACATGTATTAGAATAATCATTCATATTATATTATAATGTAATAATATTTTTTATTTTATGATTTTTTTTTGTGAAATTAGAATATTAATTTAATATTTTAAGAATTACTTCATATATACATTAGAATAAATATTTAATTTATATATACATTAAAAAGTAATTAAATTTAGATAATCAATATATAGAAGATGCGATACGTAGATTATATACAGTTTGGGCAAAAATAAGAAAGAGTTATTTGGAATTGAGTTTTCAATTTTGTCCTTGATGTGATGAGTAACAATAAGATGCGATACGTAGATTATTAGTGAAAAATATGATGTGGTAAGTAGGATAAAAGTTAATTGAGACAAAAGTAGTTTTTGATAGAAAATAGAAGCGCTTTGGTGAAAGAAAAAAAATAAAAGAAGAAGAGTTTGGTAAACACTGGGACATTAATCTTCTACACCATCAATCTTCACCATATAATCTTTATTCATTCTTTAGATCAAAATCTAATTTACGTCTTCTCTGTGATTGTCCGATCGGGTCTGAGGAGATCTCGAAGATGAGGTTTATCCTTTCTTTTATTCCCTCTCTAATTTTTTCTATCTACACATAAGTACATATGGGTAAATCTTTTGGTATGCCACACAAATACACATTAGTTATATTCCTTAGAATTTTACTAGTACATATGGTGAAACTAATACTCTGTCTGTTCTTCCCTAACAAAAAAACATTCTCCGTTCCAAAATATTCTTCATTTTTTTTAACCCGAAAAATCCACCAATTGCGGTGTGGTAAGGTCTACCGAGTATTATTAAATAAACTATTTTAGTACACGTTCGGAGAGGACTAGACCAAAGCTCCGAAAGTAAACGTTCAAAACACGTTCGGGGGACCTGACCTAACCCCGGAAGTAAGAAATAATACAAAGAAACACAAAATCCAATGAAAAGGAAAGGTAGCACCAATAAGGACAAAAGCAAACTCTTACATAGTACCAAATCTAGATGTCCAACTATCCTCGTACTCACTCCAAGAAACTTGGAAGTTAGCCCTCTCCTCTGCGATACGAGCATTCACCATTCCTCTGTGGGTCGATCTGAAGCGTAAGAACTCTTCCTTTCAATTCTTTCCCAGACAAGAAGAAGAAATTGAAACCCAGGTTTGCTAGATTATTATCCCTTAGCATCCATTTTTTCCGTCTGTTTTTCCAGCTCCAATCCTTGAGTGTATTTAGAATTTTGTAGCGAATCTTGTTGATGTTAATGAAACCATTGTCGTGGATTATTCTATTGTATTCCTTCCAAATGTGCCATACAATGATCCCTGGGAGGATGATGCGTAGTTGACCTTTGAGTGTCCTTCTTCTATGGGATAAGTTCCATTCCATGACGTGTTGGTTTAGGGTTAAAGATTGTCTTGATCTTGGTCCCTCTACTGCTTCTGCAAAGAAATGCCACCGATTCTGGCTCCAATTACACTGTAGGAAAACATGGTCAATGGTTTCCTCATTGTTCTTGCAGAGGTGGCAGATAGATACTACATGAAACCCCATGCGTTTTAGGTTATCTAAGAACGGTAGATAACAGTTCAGTGCTTTCCAAAGGAAGAATTTTACCTTAGGGATTTGAGCATTATTCCAACAGTATGAAAAATTGATTTGAGTAGGCTTAGACATTCTACAAATGTTATAGGCTTTTTTAAGTGAGAAATCCCCCTCACCCCAGCTGATGTGATCTCCTTCCTCTGAAGTATGTTCCCTGGCAGTGGTATTGATTCTGCAGATTCTCTTCCAAGTTGGAGAGTCATAAATTCTTTCCTTAAAATCAGACTGTCTAAGGTATTTGATTCTCATGAATTTAGCCCACTTAGTGTTGTCTATTTGAACTTTCCACCATAGCTTGATGGAGTAGGCTTCCTGTAAATCTTCAAGGCTTCTCAAGTTAAGTCCTCCTTCATTAGTTGGTACACACAGGTTGTTCCACTTGCCCTAGTGGTATTTAGGTTTACCATTCTTGAATCCCCATAGGAAATTTGCCATCTTTCTGTGGAGAATCTGTATAATTGATTGGGGGATGGTGTGGACAGCTGTGATATGTAAAGGTATGGATGAGAGTACATGTTTGATCAACACAAGTCTCCCCATGGGATTGAGAGTGGTGCTAAACCAAGAGTTAAGATATCTGTCAAAGTGATTCA